ATTTGAGCTGAAACTTGTGGGTACTGATTAAAGTTGATAACTTGGTTGATACTCTTTAAGTAGCTGATTTCTTATGTAATTATGTTATAATTGGTGTAAGATGTATTGCTTACAAACTAATCCTTCTACAGTTTAAAATGTTCTAAAAGTTATGACGCGGTTTTGAAGAATGTGTTACGAATGTGGGGGGGGGCTTAGAGCAAAACTTTAATTTCTACTAAAAATAATTATGAAATGGCATTGATTTCTTGTTCAGTTACTAGGTCGTGTATGACTCTTTGTGACCCCATGGACCACATCATGCCAGCCCCCCCTCCCTGTACTCTCTTGCAGAATTTTATGTATCTAACCATCTTATCCTCTGCTGTTCCCTTCTTCTTTTGCCTTCAATCTTTCCTGTCAATAGGTCTTTTCCAATGAGTCCTGTCTTCTCATTATGTGGCCAATGTATTTGAGCTTCAGTTTCAGTATCTCTTCCTTGCAAAGAACAGTCAGGGTTTATTTCCTTTAGGGTTGACCAATTTGATCTCCTTGCAGTTCAAGGCAGTCTCAAGAGTCTTCTCCAGCATCACAATTCAAAAGCATCAATTCTTCAGTGCTCAGCCTTTCTTATAGTCTAACTCTTACAGCCATACATTACTACTGGGACTATACGGACATCTTTGTTAGCAAAGTGATGTCTCTGCTTTTAATATGGTGTCTAGATTTGCCATAGCAATCTTTTCTCCCAAGGAGCAAGCATCTTTTAATTTCATGGCTGCAGTCACTGTCTGCAGTGATCTTGGAGCCCAAGAAAATAAAATCTGTCACTGCTTCCATTTCTATTTACTAGGAAGTGATGGAATCAGATGACATGATCTTAGATTTTTTTTAATGTTGAATTTCAAGCCAACTTTTGCACTCTTCATCAAGAGACATTTTAGTTCCTCTTCACTGTCTGCCATTAAAATTAGAATGGCATTGAAGAAACTGTTAATTAAAGCCAGTGATAGTTTGTTCCCACTTTTTTTAGATGAAGAAAGGAGAAAATTGTATTCATGCATTGTTCCTTCTTCCTATAGTTGAAAGTACCTTAGCTTTCAGAATTACAGATAATGAAAGTATAGATTATAGAAGATGTGAAAGCTATCTTTCTACTGTGATAATGGAGATGCTTGGCAAATACTGTTGAGGTTAAATCCATCTTAAGCTGTGGAAACTCACTGGCTGATAATGCACTGTATGTATAGCATGGTTTCACATTCACTGGAACCAGAATTTTGGCAAGCTGAAGTTTAGATTGGATGTGGATGACACCTACCTCTTCTTGTAATCAGTGTTAGAGGGAATAATGCTGGTGTTTATCAGACTCTGTAATGGGCTGGATAGAGGCCAGTAAACTGAAATTGACACTTAGGATCAGCCAGTTATCAAACAGTGTTAGAGAATTCCTACTAACTTTTTTCATTCACATTTAGTTTCATGTACCGAAGAAAGTGTGTAAAAATGAATATGCTATATGAAAAGGTTTATTTTGTATTTTAGAAATTTACTTTTGAGAGCAAGAGATCTGCTCCTTCACTGCAGCCTCCATTTTCATTTCTAGATTGAGAATTGGTTTTGTGAAGAGCTTTTTAACCTGTTACACAATTAAATATCTGTCTTTGTATCAGAGAAAGATTACACTTTTGCTATTGACCTTTCTATGTTATGCTGAATTTGAGTTTCTTTTAAATGGTCTTAGCTAGAAGGCATATTATAAATATTTTTTTAAAAAAGATAACTGACAATTAGCATAATGCAAGAGATACTGCTAGCATATAAACAAGGACTTGCAAAACAAAGATAGCTGCTTGACTTGTTTTTCAAAATCCCTTCCATGTTTCCTTTGGTTCAGTTTTCTTCTATTTTCACAAAAGTAGTTGGATGTTACATAAAACTCTTACAAATAATCACATGCTAGTGTTTTAGTTATGCTGCTAGTTTGAATTGTTTTCAACTTTGGAATGTGGATAATATCCTAATTCTTTTTTGAATTGGTAGAATTTTAAGGATTAAGGAAGGATTGCATTTTAAACCTCAAATGAATAGCGTTGTAGAAGTATAACATAAATAAACTACTACATCACGTGAATGAATTAGGTTCTATCTGATGTCTGAACCATTTTGACAGCCTCCAGAGCCTCTCCTTTTCTCACTGCTAAATTCAACTGCACACCGTGTCTTAAGGTTTATAGCTTTTAAAAAACTTAAATTATTCTTAGGGGAAGGCCTTTCTAGATATTTCTGAGGCTTGCATACCTACCCACAGTTTTGATGATACTATCCTGTTCATTGTGGCTTTCAGTGGGGTGAGGGTGGGGCCGGCGAAAGCAAGTGAAGCCTTTCAGCATTGAAACATGGTCCATTTGTATTGTTTACCAATTCTGTACAATTAATTTTATTTGCTCCATAACCAATTCCAGGATTTTTGAGCATTTAGTAAGTCTTACAGTGAGGGAAAAAACTATTTGATCCCTGCTGATTTTGTACATTTGCCCACTGACAAAGAAATGATCAGTCTATAATTTTAATGGCAGGTTTATTTCAACAGTGAGAAATAGAATAACAACAACAAAAATCCAGAAAACTGCATTTCAAGAAAGTTATAAATTGATGTGCATTTTAATGAATGAAATAAGTATTTGATCCCCTATCAATCAGCAAGATTTCTGGCTCCAAGGTGTCTTTTATACAGGTAACGAGCTGAGATTAGGAGCACTCTCTTAAAGGGAGTGCTCCTAATCTCAGCTTGTTACCATTTTTCCCTGAAAATAAGACTGGGCCTTTTTTTTTGCCTCCAAAAGAGGTACCAGGTCTTATTTTCAGGGGATGTCGTTTATACTCACCACCAGCACCGACAGCCCCGCCCAGCTGGTCCACTTCTTCTGCAGCCGAAGGAGCAGCTTCATTCTGCAGCTGCATTCCAGCTTGCATTTTGCAGTCAGGCCATAGCTCGTTACTCGGCTGCAGAGGCCTTCCAGAAAGGCCTGTGACTGAGAAATGCAGGCCTGGTTGCAGAAGACACCGCAGAAGAAATGGGCCGGCAAGGAGAGGCCTGGCTGCAAGGTAAGTGGGTGCAGAATGCATAGGGCAGCTCCACCACCACCCCGCCGCCTTAGCTTGATTTTTAGGTGTGTGCCTCACCCCAAAACTAGGGCTTATTTTGGCAGTGGGGCTTATATTAGGCCCACCCCCCAAATCAAGCTAGGGCTTATTTTTGGGGTATGTCTTACTTTTGGGAAAACACAGTACTTGTATAAAAGACACCTGTCCACAGACGCAATCAATCAATCAGATTCCAAACTCTCCACCGTGGCCAAGACCAAAGAGCTGTCCAAGGATGTGAGGGACAAGATTGTAGACCTACAAAAGGCTGGAATAGGCTATAAGACTATCGCCAAGCAGCTTGGTGAGAAGGAGACAACAGTTGGTGCGATTATTCGCAAATGGAAGAAAGACAAAATAACTGTCAATCTCCCTCGGTCTGGGGCTCCATGCAAGATCTCACCTAGTGGAGTTGCAATGACTATGAGAACGGTGAGGAATCAGCCCAGAACTACACAGGAGGATCTTGTCAATGATCTCAAAGCAGCTGGAACCATAGTCACCAAGAAAACAGTTGATAACACACTACGCCATGAAGGACTGAAATCTGGCAGCGTCCGCAAGGTCCTCCTGCTCAAGAAAGCACATGTACAGGCCCTGAAGTTTGCCAATGAACATCTGAATGATTCAGAGGAGAACTGGGTGAAAGTGTTGTGGTCAGGTGAGACCAAAATCGAGCTCTTTGGCATCAACTCAACTCACCATGTTTGGAAGAGGAGGAATGCTGCCTATGACCCCAAGAACACCATCCCCACCGTCAAACATGGAGGTGAAAACATTATACTTTGGGGGTGTTTTTCTGCTAAGGGGACAGGACAACTTCATTGCATCAAAGGGACAATGGACAGGGCCATGTACCGTCAAATCTTGGGTGAGAACCTTCTTCCCTCAACCAGGGCATTGAAAATGGGTCGTGGATGGGTATTCCAGCATGGCAATGACCCAAAACACACAGCCAAGGCAACAAAGGAGTGGTTCAAAAAGAAGCACATTAAGGTCTCCAGACCAATCTCCAGACCCTAATCCCATAGAAAATCTGTGGAGGGAACTGAAGGATCGAGCTGCCAAACATCAGCCTCAAAACCTTAATGACTTGGAGAGGATCTGCAAAGAGGAGTGGGACAAAATCCCTCCTGAGATGTGTGCAAATCTGGTGGCCAACTACAAGAAACGTCTGGCCTCTGTGATTGCCACCAAGTACTAATCATGTTTTGCGAAGGGGTCAAATGCTTATTTCACTCATTAAAATGCAAATCAATTTATAACTTTTTTGAAATGCGTTTTTCTGGATATTTTTGTTATTCTGTTTCTCACTGTTACAATAAACCTATCATTAAAATTATAGACTGATCAAAGGAATCAAATAATTTTTCCCTCATTGTATTAGTTAGAGAAAAATGATGAGTCAAATAAATTTTAAAATTGCTTAAAACTGTTTAGTAGCTAGGTTTTCTCTTCATTCAGCCTTGAGTATGTTTCTTGCAGTGAGGGCTCTTAAATGATATCAATTCTCTTCCTGTTCATAGACTTCCACTGACTTTTTTGTACTTGTGGACTACAGGTAGTCCTTGTTTAGTGACCACAATTGGGACTAGCAACTTCGCCATTAAGTGAAACAGTTGCTACGTGAAACCACCACTGTGCTTATTTCAGCACAGCTTACAGTTTTCTTTGCTTTTCAGACAGTTACTTTTCATCGCTGTTATAACTGCAAATGGTTGCTAAATGAGGTAGTTGCTAAATGAGGACTACCTGTATTGCATATTCTGTTGAAGGTGAGATCTCAGTTTGCTAAGCTTTTAATTCTACTATATTACCATTTATGCAAATCTTGTTATATTAATAAATATTTTTCTGATTTAAATGTTTTCCAGATATGAGACATGATTGTTGGACGCAGAAGATTAAAATTGCTGGGAATTCTGATGATGGTAAATTTCTTTATATATGTCATTGTGGAAGTCTCCAAAAATAGTGGCCAAGACAAAAATTCAAAACGGCAAGTTATACTTCCAAGGAGCAGATTTTGGAGAAAGTATACTCCTCATAAGGCATATTGGAATAAACAACAGCAGAAGTTGGAACACTTATATAATCCTATTTTTGCATTGCTTTTCAATATGACTGTGGAAGAAAGGTTATCTTTCAATAACAGCTTTTTGAACTCTTGTGATCCTGATCCATTTGTATCCTCAGATCTTAAAGATTTTGAAGGCTTACCAGATAGGTTTAAAGACTTTTTTCATTATTTAAGATGTAGAAATTATTCATTATTAATAGATCAGCCACACAAGTGCAAACATAAACCTTTTTTGCTTCTGGCTATTAAATCACTCATACCACATTTTGATAGAAGGCAAGCAATCCGGGAATCCTGGGGAAGGGAAATTAAATTAGGAGACATAACTGTTGTGAGGGTTTTCCTATTAGGTCAAATTCCTCCTGAAGATAACTATCCCAATCTGTCAGATATGTTGAAATTTGAGAGCAAAACCCACCAAGACATACTTCTGTGGAACTACAGAGATACTTTCTTCAATTTGACTCTGAAGGAGGTACTATTTCTAAAATGGGTCAGTAACGCTTGCCCAGATGCTCAGTTTATTTTCAAGGGAGATGATGATGTTTTTGTGAATACCCATCAGATCCTGGATTACTTGAAGAGTTTAACTAAAGAAAAAGCCAAAGACTTGTTCATAGGTGATGTTATCCGTGATGCTGGACCTCATCGTGATACAAATGTGAAATACTATATCCCACACAGTATTTATGAAGGCTCTTATCCTCCATACGCAGGAGGTGGCGGATTTCTTTATTCTGGTGATCTGGCATTAAGATTAGCTAACATATCTGACCAAGTCCTTCTTTATCCTATTGATGACGTGTACATTGGCATGTGCCTTGAGAGACTTGGGCTTTCTCCAGAAAAGCACAAAGGCTTCAAAACATTTGACATTGAAGAGAAACAGAGGGACAATATTTGCTCCTATACAAACCTAATGTTAGTCCACAACCGGAATCCTCAAGAAATGATTAAAATCTGGACGAACTTGCAAGATCCACATTTAAGTTGTTAAATATGTATGTGTCCAAAAATTATTTCTAAATTTCAGTTTAAATTTTTTGGCTAAATGGTAAGCATATTATCTTCATTTGGTAGCTTGTTTTGTAAACCAAAATTAGCTAGTAACAGATTGTCTAGTACTTCTAAAAGTGAGATTACAACTGCAAGAGGGCACATCAGAAGATATGGCATGAAAATATTCTTATTATCTACTGTCCTAAAATTTTGAAAAATTAAAGCTTTCCAAAGTTGTGATTAGCATAATTTTAAAGACTGATTAGTCAAATTATATTCAATAAATTGCTGTTATTCTGATACTGTAATTTAATTATGGTGATAGATTCCATCTTTCCTGAAATGAGAAATTGTAGAGATTTTGCTGTTAACTCAGACTCTTATTTTCCCAAGTTCCATAATAACTTAAATAATATCCTAATTAAAGAGGGGGGTTTGCAGGTTTGTTTCCACCTTCAACTTCAACTCTTTTATCACTTCACTAAATAATATTTTAGTTAATGATGGTAGAAACATCTCTAATACGGGACTGTGTATGTAAAAGATCAAATTTTACGTCAGTGAGAATCTCATGAAAATGGTGATGATTGAGATACCAATTAAAAAAAAATCCTTAAGGTTATTGAGTCTATATTGAAAGGAATATATTCTAAAAATCTCAAATCACTATATTGCTATATCTTCATATGTGTAATATCTGACAATTCAAACAGCATTTGCTGTCTTTGTATATGTAGAAGTGCCTGTATTTATTGTTTAAATGGAAGACCAAAATATTTTCTTAAAAATATTTAAGAAACATTTGTAAAGTGCTGTCAGTCATATTTAAATAAAATAGAGTATGCTATTTTAAATGTGTTGAAATGCGAAATGTTAAATAAAATTGTTTTTGAATTTGAAAAAAAAATGATTTGTGTACATTGCGGTATATATGTAATATGCCCAGACAGTTCTAAATACTTCAGTGCTTAGCAACTGCTCATGACTAACAGAGCAGTTAAAGAAATGAAACTTCCACATATCACAGCTCTGTCATAGCTTGCTCTCTGTTGCATGAAGAAAAAAAATGACAAGCCTAACTAATTTTTATGTCTTTATCATATTCCATGTCTGCTGTTGGGAAAAATGGGAGGAGGGAGCACAGTGCGTGCCCCTTGACTCCCTGAATGAAAAACAGAATGGAAATCAAATGAATATAGCTTGCAGGAGCAAACTAGATTTAAAAGATAGCACTGAATGATACTTCGCACTGGTAATTTCCTTCTATTGGTACAAAAAGGTTGTGCCAAAAATGTTTCTGTTCTAGTTCAGGCTAAAACAGTGTTCTCCAAATACTGGCTACAGTGATTAAGATCTTACAGACATAAAATAAATATATGGCATCTGTTACTCTGATGTTATGAATTAAAATAGTAGTAAACATATTTCACATTTAGGTACAGATTTTAGGATGAACCATTAAAAAAAACTAGAACTTCTGTATGTTGTCTATCTTTACCAAAGTATTTGTAGAACAGAATTAATTACTCTTATTGTATCCTAGTTTATTCTTTGTGTTAATTAACCAAAAACGAAATATCCTCAAATAGCAACCCTATATTTGTTTAAAGGCTGCTGTCCATTGAACTTGAATATGTTTCAGTGAACTTATATCTGCATAAGCAAAATAAGATTGCACTCCAAATATATTTTAATTTATGAAAGTAGCTACAGCATCTTGCTTTTGTCCGGCTTCTTGTGTCAGCTGATCAAATCTATAGAAGTAACATTTTGGTAACTAATAAAATATTTGGATTTTGGAAACTGGTATGATGCTTTAAATCTTTTCTAAAATGTGCTTATGATTTGATGCTGCTTTTTATTTTATGATTTCTTATTCTATCACAACATAAAATGGTGAGTACACAATTGAGTTGAGCAATGAATTGATTAGTCAATATCTGGCACATGATGTGTATGGCACAAATTGGAGAATTCCTAGAGACAGGACATTTTTGGAGTTGTATGCGCTATAGAATTGGCTTTTATGGAAGAAACCACATGTTGCACACTGCAGATTTTGTAAAACTAGTTTGAAATTTTCATTGAAACCCCAAAGATAACTGACCAAAGTCCTGTATGGCAACCTTGCCTATAAGGATTGATCTTATTAAAATATTAATTGAAGTTATTTAAGTTATAATTAAAATTATAAATAATTGTAGTTACTGATATGCATTAATTAAATAGAGTGTAATGGAGTTAAACTACTCTGAGTTTCTTAAGTATAAAATGTTGATAAAGAACTTACTGGTAAGTGACAACACTCAGAAGCATTTTAATTTGTTGTCTAAAGCAATTATTATTCCTAATAGAATAATAATTGGGAACATTTTGAGCTATGCTCTACTTTAAAAAAAAGAAACCATAAGGAAAGCTAAATAAAATTTTGAAATGCACAATATTTATATTTATTATGCCAAGATCCTACTTGTTCCACAGTGCATTCTCCCCAAGTGAATGTGTAGAAGACTATTATCTCAGTCACAGATTCAATACATGCTTTATACATTCTTATTGTTTGGAATAGCTTTTTTATATATATAAACAGAGCAGTTGTCCCTACTTCCCAAAGTTGAGTGTAATGGACCCACTATCGATAATAGCACTGTATATTTTTACCTTACCATATGGCCTCTGGGCTAAATATTTTATAAACAACTGAAAGAAAACATTGGCAAAGAAAGACACAGTAGGGGATCAATTTGACCAAATGTGATATTTTCCTCTATCCTGTACTGCTGGAGTTTCAGATATCAATATTATTGTAGGCAGTAAGCAGCACAGTGTTGAAAATCATGGAACTCAATTGACGTATCCAATGACCCTTGACAAATATTTTTGTACAGAAGTGTTTGCTGTTCTCTTTCAACTATGCTAAGGTAGAAAGATAACTATACTTGTGTGCAGCAGCCAGGATAGTACTTAAGATTGCGTCTAGAGCAGCAGTCCCCAACCTTTCCAGCTTGGCGGCTTGGTGGGGGAGGGAAAGGGATGGTTCCCTGTTAGTGGCAGGCATGCGCATGAGCGCACACAGCTCCATTTGTGCAAGCAGCAGGCCAGTGGAGCTGTGCGTGTGTGCTCATCCACCACTTGCGCGGCCTAGTTCTGAACGGGCTACGGCCGGATAATGGGCTGGGGGCTGGGGACCCCTGGTCTAGAGAGCTGCAAATACTGATAATGAGAAGTTGCATTGGTGGTTGATAAGCAGAACTGTCTGAATCTTTTTTTTTTTTTTTTATAAAAGATTTTTATTATTTTTCATCATAAAAAAAACATCACAAGTGTTGCACAATGCTATATGAAAAAACCCCCCACCCCCCGCCCCCCCGAACTTCCCAAACCTAATCCCAGGATAATATTCAGATATAAGTAAACAGGTATTAATATCTCTAACTCCACAAAGTACATTATTCTACATGAGTAGGTAAAATATTTAAAAAAAAAGAACAAACTTACTAAAAACCTAAATTATATTCCACCACTCTATGCTTATTTTAAATATAAAC